ATCAGAGAGTTGGACAATGACTAGGGAGGACAGAAGGAGAATTGATGCCTTTGAGCTGTGGTGCTGGAGAAGAGTATTGAGGGTACCATGGACTGCTAAGAAAACAAATTTATCCTGAAGAGGGTTAAATTGGGCTGCTCCTTTGAGGCAAGGATTCTGAGGCTTCATCTGACATACTTTGGACATGTTGTAAGGAGGGACTGGTCCTTAGAGAGGGACATCATGCTTGGGAGGGTGGAGGGACAGCGCAGGAGGGGAAAGCCCTATATGAGGTGGATTGATTCAGTGACTGGGGTAATCAGGATGGGTGTATCGGAGACAGTGGGATTGGCACAGGACAGAGCAGAGTTTAGAGCTGTTGTACATAGGGTCGCTATGAGTTCCAAGCAACTCGACGGTACATAACCACCACCACAACAACATATGACTATTATCATTCTACCTTTGCAAGTCCTGGTTGAATCTTTCCTAGTCCTTAACCCTTGCCATCTACCCACTACTCTCTGCTATCCTAGTGATTTCCGCCTTTCGTCTTTTTCCACAATTCTTGATCAAGTATTCCAGTTCTAGCCTCCATGAAAGCTAACCATGGTGTCTCTTTTTTCATTCCTAAAGAATGCTAAAGACTCAAATAAACAATATAGAACTAATCAAAGGATTTGGTAAAATTGCTGAAGAACAAGATCTTTAAAGCAATAATGTTTCTCCTCAGTAGTAATCCTGTTAGTAATGTATACACCCCCCAGGATGTTTATTGCAACTTTATTACAAATAGGAAAAGTGTACTGGAAACTCATTATACATCTGCCAGAGAATGGCTGGATGAGTTGTAAAAATTATAGTATATTATAAAGTTTGTTTGCTATTTAAAGGAATGAGTGATATGTACATTTATGAATAAAGTTGGTTAGATAACATATCTTTACAGAAAAAAAAAAGTCAGTTGCTATTATGTATCATCAACTTGGAACCAACTCATAGCTGACCCTCTGGTGAGTTTTCAGAGGCAGTAAATCCTACAGGAGATTATCCATCTTCCCCCTGCCGAGCAGCTGGTGGCTTTGAACTTCATGCCTTTGGGTTGGCAGCACATCTCCTTACCAATAAGCCACCAGTATGCCTTGTATGGGACCCTGAAAAATGAGGAGGCACTCTAAACATGTCTAAAATAGTGTCAGGTCTATCATTTTTTTTTTTAGTGTGTTGTGAAAAATTGATTAAATTAATCTAATAATGGACTTTGTCTCTCCCATTATGTAGTGTAGGTGGTTTTGTAATTTTATTGGGTAAAAATACTAATTTAGATTAAGAAAAATAGACTTTACTTTGAGAATCAATGGACTATGTCATTGCTTCTAAGAACCATTATTTTTTAAATACATCACTATTTTGTTGATGTTGTTATTGTTGTTTTTAAATACATCACTGTTTTAAGAAAGCAAAAACAATTGGATTAAACTTTTTACCATGGTTTATAACTTATTCTGTATTCTTTGAAAGTGCTGTCTTGGGCATATTTCAACATGGAGGTGATCACATTGTGAAGAGTTATGCCCAAGTCTGTATGAGTGGAGACAATAGTGAATAACTTGCACCTCCTACCTGGCCAACAGCAAGAGGCCATCAATTTTCAGACACAGCCTTTTTCAGGGATTTTAAAATATGTTTGGAAAAAGTGTGTGCCTTAAAACTGACGACATCTGACATTTTACATAAGTTACCTTCCAGGTGAGTATAAAAGGAGGATACTTAAGAGCAGATATGTATGATTCAACATCGCACATAGAACACAATGCCTTAAACAAAGAAGGTCATAACTAAAAATTTTAGGGAAACAAGGAAGTCTTCCACATGGCAGGAGTAGGGGGGCACTTTGGAAAAAACAAAATTGAAAAGGGGATAAATCGGAATTGTAGAAAAGAGTACAAATAGGACAAACAAGACTAAGTTAAATGTCCCATTTCCATAGTTATGTGATCTGACAAGTCAAGATTCCAAACCTGACCTCAGGTTTCTACAGTTCCAGGACCACTGGTGCCACCATCAGACAGTAGGGGACAGGAATGTCTTCCACTTTGTATGTGCTCAAAACACACATGTTAAATGAATGAGTGAATGAGGCAGGGTCGTCCGTTACTGGAAATAAGAGCTATTTTCTCTTCTGTTATCACTACAGAGAAACTCGAGAGCGAGAAGCTGAACGTTGCTGAGGTCACCCAGTCAGAGATTGCTCAGAAACAAAAACTGCAGACTGTCCTGGAAAAGATCAACGAGACCCTGAAACTGCCCCCCAGGAGCATCAAGTGGAATGTGGACTGTGAGTTTCACAAGAGGAAACTCTTGTCTAATCAGATTTAGTTACTAGTATGTTATTTCCCCAAGAAGCCATCCAGTAAGCTGACAGGTCCTGAGTGGGTGGAAATGCATTTATCTTTTAATGAAATGGTTCCTTTCTTAGGAAAAAAACATATCCTACTCTTGGGAAAAAAAATGTTATAACCCTATGACCTCTTTTTATAAAAGGCTTTCTATGGAAACCTCATGAGATGTGGGGTTTTGTTTTTTGGTTTTTATTTTAAGTCACTCTTTTCAGATGTTTTTGATAGTGTTTGTTGCTATTGAGTTTTTTCTGACTTATGGCAACCCTACGTGTGATCAAGAGGGGAAAATAATGAAAGCTTGTTGAGCCTCTTCAGTGCCCAGCTCAACATTTTAAGAAAATTATTGTCTCCAGAATATTGGAAGCCTGATGCATCTGAAAGCTGAGGCCTTGTGTTCACGCAGATACTCAAAAATGGAATGAGGACTAGAGTTTCTTCTAAAGCCCAAACATCCTCTCTCTTACCATGTTATTTTCTAGGAAGAAAGGAGATGTGCCTAAGATTGGGAGTTCTAGGATGAGATTTTAAAATTCAGAGGTTTGTAGCTTTTACACTTCAAGGATCGCAGAGAGATGAACATAACATGCACTGGCAAGAAAACAAACAAGTCTGTCCTGGAGAGGGTGAAACCAATTTTCCCCTTGGAGGCTAGGATTTTGAAGCTCCATCTCACATACTTTGGACTTGTGTTCAGAAGGGACTGATCCTTGGAGACAGATATCATGCTTGGAAGGGTGCAGGGACAGCATAGGAGAGGAAGACCCCGCATGAGATGGGTTGATACAGTAACTAGGGCAATGGAGGTTGGTGTATTGGAGTTAGTGAGACTGGCTCAGGACAGCAAAGGGTTCAGAGATGCTGTACATAGGGTCTTTGTGAGTCACAGGAGACCCAACAGCACATAACAACCATCACCTCGAGGGAAGACCAGTTGTTACCAAGTGTATACCAGCTTCTGCAGATGCCATGCATGGCAGAGTATAACTGTGTCCTTAGGGTTTTCAGTGGCTGCATTTTGGAAGTAGATCACCACATCTTTCTTGCAGTGCACCTCTGGGTGGACTAGAACCAATAACTTTTTACTTAGCAGCCATTGGAAACACCCTGAAACTCCTGCCTCAAAGGCCTGGAGGTTGATGTGGCCTTAATACATCAGCATAAGTATCAATAAATTCCTTGTTGTTGACTTGGAACTGCCTCATCACTGACCTTCCAGTAGGGTTTTGGGAGGCTGTAAATCATACCAGAGGAGATTACCCATCTTTCTCCCTTGGAGTGAACTGCCAGAGCTTTTGGGTTACCAACTAAACTTTCTACCACTATACCACCAGAGCTTAGTATAATTAAGAATATATAAAGAATATAGAGAGCTTAGTATCATTAAAAATACATAAAATTAGTCTTTTCTTCCCTCCTCCCCTCCCCCCTCAAAAGATCTTTGATACTTGGAAGACAAACTCTTCACCTCCGAACTCAGAGACCCAGTTGTTGCTAGGCACAGTCTCTTCAGCTGGTTTTTCACATCTGACACTGGGGCTGAGACATCAAGTGCCTCCTTCAGCATAATTACACCTTTGCTCACACAGTGTGATAAGCTGGCTGGCACATCACATAGTGCTCAGAACAGGGCATTCTCTGCAAACGTGGGAACAGAGGCATCAGGGAGTGAAAGGAGAAAGGCCACTGCTCATGGCCAAAGAAGCAGTGTGGTCAGGGGCTCTGTTTCTTCCTGTGCTCCAAGGAACTCTAGTAGTGGAGTTAGAGGTGGAGGAAAAGGGGCTAAACCTGTAGCTTGAGAAGAGCTGCACATAGTGTCCACCTTCTAGTAATTCACTATAGATGCCTTCTTAATGCTGAACCTGCTTAGTTTTGTTTGATTCTATTTCCTGCCCCTTTGAATATGGAACGTCTCTTTTTCGCAGCAAAGTCAAAACAGCTTCTAACAATCATAAGGCTCAGTATGGGAAAGATTGAGATGGAGAAATGAATTTTTTTTTAAAGCTGCTATTGGAATATTGTCTTCAGTGACTTTGAAAGATTTGCTTGGCTTAATTTTTTTTGGGGAAATGTATATGAATAAAGAGATCTCTAATATTACCAGGCTGACCTGGTTATTTTCAGATTTTGCTCATTACTGTACACATGAATGCGTAGTTTTGTTTGGTGAAGTCCTATTAAAAAAGAGCGAAGGTAACATGGGTAACCTGGGGACAGCTGACTCTGACCTCTGCCATTCCACAAAGGGGCACTTTTGCCAGTAACACCCCCAGTACCAAACAAATGACTACAAGGTCAGATATGCCCCCACCCATTATGCTCCTGCGCCTGCCCCTACTAATCACTGAGTCCAGTGGTCACTGCAAATTAACTCACAGACTTAAACTTTACTCACAGTTGTCAAGTTTATTAGGGAAATAGGTTGTGAGGTGGAAGAGGCAAATGATATCACACAATGGAAGTCTAAGTTTTAGTGAACAGCAGTCCCACACCAGGTTAACAGCAAGACACAGTTCAGACAACTTCTCAGTCAACAAGTGAAAGTCCAAGTTTAGCCCAGCAACACAAATGCAAGAAATCTCTGGATTCCTCAATCACCCAGCTAGTTTTATCTCATAGCAGTCACAAGTCAGCTCTTCGTTCAATCATCCCACAAGCAAAACCTTTAACTCTGGCTCTGTCTCCAGGGCTCTGTCAGGCTACATTTTGCCACATTCTCACCACAGTCTGGCCAACTCTCTTTCTTATGTTGGTCTCATAGTTGTTGATGTTGAAGACGCTGATCATAGGTGAACCATGTGTCTGCAGTTGAGACAACTAGAAAGCATGCTGAAAACCCCTTGGGGGGTGGGTAAGACAATGGATATAGAAGCCATTTTCGAAAGTCATATAAACTATTTTTGGAAGGAAGAGTGTCATCCACTTCCTAAATAACATACCTTCAGAAACTCTATGAACTTTGATAAATGTCGATAGTTGTAGAGGGGCTTCAGGCCTTTTGTTCATAGGGTAGCTATGAGTCGCGCTCAACTTGAAGGCAATCAACAACAACAATATATACTATTACATTCTGATACATTGTTTTCTATTAACATACCAAACATATGTTTTTGATTAACAAGTGGTCTTCGTAATGTTTCTGTCTCATGAGGTAGATAATTAACTGAAACTTTAAGTTGATACTGGAAATTTTTTTATTATTATTAAATTTTATTAGATTTCATAAACATTTACAGGGATTTTGGGTTTTCATTCCTTCATTGCTGCACCATTCTCTCCACCCTCCTCCCCAGTTCGTTCTGCTTCCCCCACCATCCGAATGTCTGTTTTAATTGTCCAGTTGCCACAGTGCTTGTCAAAGTCAGTTCTGATTAATCTCCTTTGTCAGTGTGTCCTTTGCCATTCCCTATC